GGGATAGTGAAAACTTCTAATTGGCCCTAAGCATGTTTTTCATTCTTTTTTGTAGTTGTATTTTTAATGACAGTTAGAATTCGTCATCTATTTGACTATAATGCATTATAATAGATTCATTTGTTTACATGTTGTATGTAAACAAAAGCTATTGTATTGTCCAAGGAAAAGGGAAGGTTTTGCCGACCTGGTGAGTAATGCAAGTTTACTTTACATCAGCTTATTGCGATTGGTGAAGATTTGCAAATACAAATCGGAGTAGATCTGATATAATCACGTACTTTACCTTAAATCAGCGCGAGAACTTTGATTGCACGATGCAGGGTTAGCAGTAACTCGGTAGTTCGATATGTCTTCGTTAGATGGCACTGAAGTATGTTTTTTTGTAAAAGTCTTGTATTGGGCAGTTAATGTTCATGTCCTAATGACCTTTCCACGCACTACCACAAGGAGGATGTATATCCTCTGTGCCGTCCCTGTAGGGAATGGGGCAGAAAAATGATGATAATAATATACGCTTAGTCTATTAAATTTTGGCTCGTTCGTAGTGATAGAGTTGAGAAATTTTTCATTGATTCTTATACAACACCTCGTAAGAACATACTAGAAAAATTATCCGTACCTCAAAAGGTAAACGAACCCTTATAAGATCACTTTCTTGTCCGTCTGTCCGTGTGTAACCACCGGTTTTTTCAGGAACGGGTAGACCTAGCAAGTTGAAATTTATACCAGATACTGAGGTCTGTGGTCCCTATTAGGTGTATAAAAATCAAGGTAATGAGTCTACACGATAAAAAGATATGGGCAAATTTCGATTTTCGCGAAAACTTGGAAGTACCAAAATTTACCTTAATTTTCAACTGTTTTTTATTTTTCAGAATTTTCTCTTTACTTGTGCTTTAAGACCTTGCTTTTAACCAAAATTGACAATTCTAAGTCAAACGGAAGTACCCTGTAGGTCTTTGGTCGAAAACCTATATGGTAGTTCCCGTTGACCTAGACTCACGAAATTTGGCAAAAAAAGAACGTCTTACAGCACAAATAAAGAGAAAATTGTGAAAAATAAAAGAAAATAGAAAATGAAGATAAATTTTGGAACTTACAAATTTTCGCGAAAAACTACGTAAAATCTGGGTAGGTACGGAACCCTTGGCCAATGACAACTTCGCCAATAACACACAGTTTAGTTCAGTTTAAGCTACAGTGATCATGCATCAAAGTGAGTAAAGAGAAGTGTGATGCATCGAAGTGAGAAGAGTAACCCAGCGACCTCGCCGATCATTTTAGATCATTATTAAGCACTAGCTGACCCGCGCAACTTCGTCTGCGTCTCTCAATAGTAATAAATTTTCTCCGTTTTTGAAACATTCTTCATTGGGTCTCCGCTCCTATTGGTCTTAGCGTGATAATATATATCCTATAGCCTTCCTCGATAAATGGGCTATCTAACACTGAAAGAATTTTTCAAATCGGACCAGTAGTTCCTGAGATTAGCGCGTTCAAACAAACAAACAAACAAACTCTTCAGCTTTATAATATTAGTATAGATTGATTGGACTTAGGCAGCAAGTCTAAGTCTGGAAGGGAGCAAACTACGCAGGACAACAGCACTGCAAAGAGAAGGAAAACTTGAAATAAATCCTATACCAACCCGTCTGGCCAGCATGGCATAGTAGGCCAAAACCTCCTTTCTAAGGAGAGGCCTATGTCCAGCAGTGGACTATTAAAGGCTGTTGATGATGATGATGATGATTGGACTTACGTACGTCTCTTAAAGCGTCAAAAGGTAATATATTCTAACAACGAACCGTAACACGTAACAATATTATTATAGTATAGATAAATTACACATGGACACAGAACAAAATTCGTCTGTCGCCATTAAGGTCGCATATGCATTTTTTTGGATTTTGCTTTTATTTTACTATTTACCTAAAAAGCAATGTTTTTAGCAGCTTTAATAAATTTTTCCTCATAGCTTTTGAAATAGCCATGTTAACAAAGTAATTATATATATATATATACATAGATATATATTTTGTTTATATATAAATTCCAATGATTTCGACTGATGGTAATAATAATATTGTACCACATTCACACAACGCCATCGAGTCCCAAACTAAGCAGAGCTTGTACTATGGCTACTAGACAACTGATATAAATACATATATACTTTCTTTTTTTGTAAATACATACTTATTATACATAGAAACACCCAGACCAAATCAAACATTAAATGTTCATGCACACAAATGTTTGACTTGAGCGGGAATCGAACCCGCGACCTTTGGAATAGCAGTCCGTTACACAAACCACTACGCCATTCGGTCGTCAGAATGCACAGGTCTGAATGCACTATTTCAGTATTCGTTACGATGTCCCTTACACCCTGTATATATATATTTTTTGCAGATCCTCCATTCTTAATGCGGATGGGCGAAATAATCAAGTATCTGTTTAGGGTGGGTATCGAACGGCACAGCAGTCAGGATTATTAACCACTAGACCTAAAGTCATGTTTGCAATGAGTGGGAATCAAATCCCAGCACTGTAATTGGATTCACTACGACGCTACGTAGGAAGTTAGTTAATCATTATTTTGCATCTTTACATTTTATTAAACGACATGAAACTAGTACACTTAGTTTGTAATTAATTAAAACATCTTACATTAAACAGTAACTTTCTTAGATAAACTGTTTTACTTTTTAATATACCTAGAATTTAGTATCTTAGATTATAATAGTGCACTTTCAAACGTCAGAAGGCCGAGTGCAAGTTTATTTCAGACTAGCTGACCCGCGCAACTTCGTCTGCGTCGCTGAATAGTAATAAATTTTCTCCATTTTTGAAACATTCTTCATTGGTGCTCCGCTCCTATTGGTCTTAGCGTGATGATATATAGCCTATAGCCTTCCTCGATAAATGGGCTATCTAACACTGAAAGAATTTTTCAAATCGGACCAGTAGTTCCTGATTAGCGCGTTCGAACAAACAAACTCTTCAGCTTTATAATATTAGTATACATGGGCGCGCTCTTGACGGCGAGCGCGTTCTGCGCTGCGATTGGCCCGCACTGAAATCTGCACCAATCGCAACGCGTTGATGTGAAATAATCTCACTTAATCATTTATCAGTTTTAATTTGTATACTACAAATATTGCACTGCAAATAGAAAGAAAACTTGACTCAAACCCTTTTTTTTTTTAACGTGTGGAAATCCCCTCGGACCGTCACCCCACCTGGGTTTGCGGCGGGGTGGTGTGTCGGACTCGGACCGACTAAAACCACACGGTGTGCCACTCTGCACCTGTAATAGGAGGGATCCGGGAACAGCTGTTATTAAGACATCCGGACCCCTCCTAGCGCCGGCCCGCTCCTGTTGCGGGCTGCGTCTCAAAAATTATTTTTTTCCTCTCTTTAGGCGACGTCCGGCACACGCGGACGCCGCCCCCTCGCGGCTGGCCAAAACTTTGACACAAACCCTATACCAACCCGTCTGGCCAGCGTGGTATAGTAGGCCAAAACCTTCTTTCTAAGGAGAGGCCTATGTCCAGCAGTGGTGATGATAATAATAATAGTTTCGGACCTCTGACACACAACGCCATCTAGTTTCAAACTAAGCAGAGCTTGTACTATGAAAGCAAGATAGACTGATAGATTTTCTTTTGACGTATTATACATGGAAAACACCCAAACTCCGAAACAAATATTTGCAGAACCCGAGCCAGCATAGTCGTCGCATACGCTACCACTGCCCCACTGAGGAAGTCAATGATGATGTAGTCCAACCATCTTCATAGATTTTGTGTTTATATTCGTCTTGTTTGTAAGAGTGACATTGGGTATATAAAAATTAAAGTGGCCTGTTTGTAAATTTTAATTACTTAAACATTTTCACGCAGTCTTGTTTTTTGTATTCAGTAATTAGCTCTGTCCGTCTTTGCGCCGGCTCCGCTCGGCTAGCAGAGCATATGTTTCCACTTTTTTATTTGTGTATATTAATCTTAGAAGTTAGAAATATAGCATCGTTATATTGTAGTAGATGTTTTAATGGGAAGAAATCCGTAATACGTAAATAACTCGCGTTCTCTATTCATTTGTACTCGTATAGTTTTCTATTTTGTATTTTCTGTTGGCGTTTCGGTTTCCTTCACTTGAATGCCAATCAATTCCCTGGCAGATAGAACTTTTTCTAGATAAAAGGACCCTATGTCTTTTAAAGTAGCTCTTAAAACAGTGCAAACATCATTTATTTGATCATCAATTATGATCTGCAGCCTTTCATATTCCACTGCTGGACATAGGCCTCTACTTAGAAAGGAGGTTTTGGCCTACTATACCACGCTGGCCAGACGGGTTGGTATAGGGTTTGTGTCAAGTTTTCCTTCTCTTCGCAGTGCTGTTGTCCTGCGTAGTTTGGACTGCAAAAGCGGTCGCTCGCCGCTTACTATTACGCTGAGTGTTGTGGGTCCGTTCCCAACATGGGACTACATTTTGTGTGATCCACAAATTGTTGTTCTGAGTCTGGGTGTTCTTTGTGTCCGTTTCATGTATGTTTGTAAAGTCCCGTATAAGGTAAGGTATAAGTAGGATGGTTCATTCCATGTATAAGGAAAATTATATGTGATATTCCTATTTCTGCTTTAATTAGACTATAACTTCCGGGGACTTAATAAACAAAGAGTAAGGAATAACATTTATTTGTATGTGTAACTTCCATTAATAATTTTAACAGGCCTGTTGGCTTGTTAGTGACCCTGACTGCCAAGCCGGAGGTCGTGGGTTCGATTCCCACGAAGGACATATAAATTGTGTGATCAGCTATCATTTCTTCTGTGTCTGTGTGTAATTTATTTATAAGACATAGGTTAGTCACTATACTGCAAGTGTGAGAGTCGAAATTCTCAGTTATCGGGGAGAGGTGCTCCCACCACCCACCTCATCCCCGAATGTATTTAACTTTACGCGCGTACTATATCTTTATTCCCTTAGAAATGCTCACCAGTTGCTCCCTTTTCCAGATTAAGCAGCTTATCATGGAGGAAACAGACACGGATACCCTACGTAAGCTTGCACCATGTTGGAGCCTGGCCGGAGACGAGAGGCTTCTCACCATACTACAGAACACACACCAGGTACGGTAATACCAAGTTGTTAACATACTACTCATCCGTGTGGTGATAGATTAAGAATACCGAATGTCGTCACCCCTATTCATTCCGTGGGTGTCGTAAGAATCGACTAATTGAGCAAAATAGGCAGGACAACAGCACTGCAAAGAGAAGTAAAACTTGACACAAACCCTATACCAACCCGTCTAGCTAGCGTGGTATAGTAGGCCAAAACTTCCTTTGTAAGGAGAGGCCTATGTCCAGCAGTGGACGACTAAAACCTTCTGATGATGATGAACATATCACTAAGTATAATAATAATATTTCGGACATGTGACACACAACGCTATCTAGTCTCAAACTAAGCAGAGCTTGTACTATGAAGGCTAGATGGACTGATATACTTTTGTATGTAAATACATACATATTATACCTACATAGAAAGCACCCAAACTCCGAAACAAATATTTGCAGATCATACAAACATTTGTTCCGATCCGGGAATCGAACCCGAGACCTCAGCATAGCAGTCGCATACGCTGTTACCGCACCACCTAGGCAGTGCAATACTCCACTCAGCTCAAGGGGGGCCTGAACGGGTCACGTAGAATGAGTTTTCTATGGCTTAAAGAGTCACGAAAAAGCAAACACACTCACATTCGCATTTATAAATAATAAATAATTTACAATTGTCAGGCCTATTGGTCTAGTGTTTAGTGGCTGCTAAGACGGAGGTCCGTGTAGTGAAGGATTAAGAATACGGAATGTCACTACCCCAATTCATCCCGTGGGTGTCGTAAGAGCCGACTGAGGGCGCAAAACAACGCAGGACACCAGCAATGCAAAAAGAAGGAAAACTTGACACAAACCCTATACCAACCCGTCTGGTCAGCGTGGTATAGTAGGCCAAAACCTCCTTTCTAAGGAGAGGCCTATGTCCAGCAGTGGAATATTAAAGGCTATTGCTGAAGCTGGAGGTCGTGGGTTCGATTCCCATCCAGGACAAATAATTGCGTGATGAGCACGAGCATTTATTCCATGTGTGGATGTACTTTATCTATAATATACAATGCATTTAAAAATATATAAGTATGTTTATCAGCAGTCTGGTTACCATAGTACAGGCTCTGCCTAGTTTGGAATCAAACTGCTGTGTGTGAGATGTGTAAAATTATTATATTGTAATCAAATCACACTGAAATGAACTCTAGTGCATTGGAATTACATAAAAAGTAAACTAACTACGCTTGTAAATCTAGGCTAAACATTTTAGGCGTGTGCTAAATTGCGCTTTATATGTAGTTGCAGTGAGTAGAAATTCATTGTTACTTTCACATGGAGACATAATGAGTAGTCAAAACAGTGATGAGAAGAGCTATACGGTCAGGTATAGGCGGAAGACAATGATGATGAATTCTCCTTTATCACTCCAAAGATATTAATAAACTTACACACGCTGAAAACTGGTGTTAAGCAACTCTTGCCTTTCACTGAGTGAGTGAGGTTACCGGAGCCCAATTCCCCCCTGACTCGAGCGGGAGGGACTCCAAGGGCGGCAGCGTACTTGTGACTTTTGGGTTGTGTCCATGGGCGGCGGTAGTTGCTTGCCATCAGGTGGCCCGTCTGTTCGTTTGCCCCCTTATACCATAAAAAAAAACGCCGTCTGATCCCAAACTGGACAGATCCTGTTCTATGGTTTTTTTTTGTTATATAAAGACAACTCCCGCACTAGGAATAAATCCTGTGTCACGGGGGACTTTACAAACATACATGAAACGGATATAAAAGACACCAAGACTCAGAACAACAATTTGTGGATCACACAAAGTATTGTCCCATGTGGGGATCGAACCCACAACACTCAGCGCAGTAAGAAACGGCAAGGTGACCGCTTAAACTACTACGCCATCCGTGCAGTCAACCAGTATGGTAACCAGACTGCTGTAAACTTACTTATATATATCTAAATACAGAACAAATGATCGTGCTCATCACACAATATTTGTCCTAGGTGGTAATCGTACCCACGACCTCCATCCCAGCAGTCAGGGTCACTAGACAAATATCAGAGATCACTAAATACTTCCTTTCTGCTCATTTTCTGTTTCACGGTTTCATTTAATTGCAAAATGATAACAGCTTTTTTTATGGCCAGTCTTTCCTAACGCTAATCCTCTTTGAGAATGTAATCGTTGTTCGTACACAATATGACCTGTTTAACTGCGTGCTCAGGTCAAGTTTGACAGTTGAAGTTGACAACGCAGTACCTACTCACGACAAAGACTTAAAATTTCACACGTTACAAATAATTTTCATCAGAAACAACACAGTTTCTCACATTCATCGCTTTAAAGCGGTCAGCATCACGGTTTGTGACGTCATACGGTTATAAAACATCACTTTATTGCCATGAACAATATATAGTTATGATTTTATAACAGCGTCTTCAATTTATAAATAAACTGCTTATATTTTGTGTATTATTATCCAGTATGTTTATTTTTCAACCTTCAAAAGTTATTGTTTCAGAATTCTTTATTACAATTAACTTTCGTTGGTTGATTCAGACGGTTATCTATCTATATCTGATACTTCCATACTTATATTATAAATGTGAAATTGTGGGTTTGTTTGTTAAGCTTTTACGCCTAAACCACTAAACCGATTTCAAAAATTCTGTCACCAATCATTAACAGCCTTTAATAGTCCACTGCTGGACCTAGGCCTCTTCCTAGAAAACAGGTTTTGGCCTACTATACCACGCTGACCAGACGGGTTGGTATAGGGTTTGTATCAAGCTTTCCTTCTCTTTGCAGTGCTGTTGTCCTGCTTAGTTTGCTCCCTTAGTCGGCTCTTACGACACCCACGGGATAAATAGGGGTGGTGACATTCCGTATTCTTAATCCGTCACAACACGGATCTTTCACCAATGGAAAGCTACATTATCAGCGAGTAACGTAGGCTACTTTTTACCCCAATAATACACACGGGCGGAGCCGCGGGCAATAAATAAATGGTTTGCTAAGAGACAGGTTAGATGTCCCTGCAACACAACGGGAGGATCCTCCGACCAGGCGAGGTGATCGTCCCTAGCTGGCCGTGGCTCACCGGTTAAGGTTGGAAAGTTATATATATACTAATCGGCGTGAGAACTTTCCACATCGCGATACAGGATAAGCAATTACTCCGTAGTTCGCTGTGTCTTCGTAAGATGGCACTGTAGTATGTTTTTTGTTTTATAAGTGGAATTCAACACAGGTTACATATGTTTCTAAGCGCAAAACTCGAAATCGTCTGGACTTACATAACTTTTTTGTTTTTTTTTTATGGTAATAATCGTAATGGTTGTTTCAGAGATTGATAACCAAATGCCAGGCAGCAAACTCACAGTTGGAGCAAATGGCGACGGCCCTGGATGATGCCAACATAAGCTTGCAGAACGTCAACAATCAGTAAGCGATATTTTATGATGGCGATTGGTTTACGGTGATTATGAGCGCTTGTTCGTGAAGGGCTGCCGAGCACACAACGTACCGATACGAAATGGAAAGGGGCAGAAACATGATGATGACTTTATTTTTAAGAATAGGGGGTAGACGAGCGGATGGTTCACCTGATGGGCTGTGACTACCATCGTCCATGGACAACTCAACAGTTAACAGCGGTTTTTTGTTAAGCCGTGGTATCAGCACCACCAGCAGTGGACTAGTAAAGGCTGATGCTGACTCTCCCACGGCTGCAGCTCGTAGGGGGATAGTGCAAAATATATGTTTATTAGACATTTATTCATCACGTTTTAATTCACAATTGAGTCGAGAGAAATCTGTGAGCAAACTTTAAAAATATGTTTATTTCATGGTTTGTTACTTTTGAGCGAATTTGAATTAGTTATGCGTCCAATTTCACTGTTTAACTATTCAGCAGTTATGTAAGCGTTGAATACTTACAAGATGTAGTTTAATTAGTTGTTCTTATCTGTGATGGGTCTGGGCCAAAAACAAGCTTGTTTCGTAACACACTACGGGGTCTACTGGAGACAGTGTTTTGGAGTTTTGAAGTCTCTCACTCTTAATATCTACTTTGAACAATATATAATACGACTAATTGAATTATTTTATGGCATTAGGAGCTGGGATACGGACTGATCACAAAGGAACTTACCCATAGTTCATGGCCCATTTTTTTTTTTACAATTATTTACCTCCCCTTCCTCCCAACAGTGGCCCCCCTCTAGTTTTCACGTAGTAAAATCTTCATAATTGTTCTAATTAAACAGCGCTTGCTGTGTATGATATTGACTACGTGACCAAATCCTAAGCCCTTTCTCCGTCTCCGTGACCAAGCGTGGTATTTAAGAGACTACACCCCCCTAAATGGGTCACGTAGTTAGCGGCACCCAGGGACATATGCAACTCAAGAACACAAGTGCTTTATTTCATGAACTTTGTCTGGACTACAGAAATTACATACAGGAAAAAACTTCCTGTATTCGAGAAAGCTTGAATCTACAGCCGAATTGTTATAAAGACGATTGAGCGGCTAGCAAAAGTTAATACATTTTATAAATCTCAAAGCAATTCATCATAGACGAAAACAAAATTTGCTCCAAATTTACTGCGTACGTGTTTTTATTTGACTTTCACAATTTTGTATACAAATGAAAGTACTTTTATATAAATATATGTATTTTGAGAACTTCTATGAATAAATAAACTAGTGTGACACAAAAAAAAATTAATAGAATTTTTTGCAAAACCTATCACTGACATTTTGTCGGTCAGACAACTCCCGCATTAGGAATATATCCTGTGTCGCGGGGTACTTTATAAACATACATGGCACAGACGGATAGCATAGTGGTTTGTGTAACGGACTGCTATTCCAAATGTCGCTGGTTCGATTCCCGCTCAAGTCAAACATTTGTGTGCATGATCATTTAATGCTTGATTTGGTCTGGGTGTTTATTTGTATAATATGTATATATTTACATAAAAAAAGTATATATGTACTGGGTCTACCAATAGGGATGACCTGGTTTTGACAGCTCATAGCGGCCATGTTTGATGATGGATCTTTGACGTCTCTTGACATTTGTGTTCAGTAAGGTTTGTCATTTTATCATGTCACGTTTCACTTTAAACCAACGCTTGGAAATTGTCCAAAATTTCTTTGAAAGTGACGAAGGAAACCCTGTTACTGTGAATGGCGAGCGCTATAACTCGATGTTAACCGAATATTTCTTTCCGGCATTTGATGATATTGATGCAGACGACCTTTATTTTCAATAAGACGGTGCACCACCTCACATTACTCGAGTGAACATGGAATTATTGCGTGGAAAGTTTGGTGAGTCGTTAATTTCGAGAAATGGACCGATCAGTTGGCCACCGAAATCGTATGATTTAACACCTTTAGATTATTTTCTTTAGGATTACGTTAAATCTAAAGTGTACAGCAATAATCCAGCTACAATTCGTGACCTAAAAACCAACATTCGACGAGCCATAGCCGACATACCGGCCGAAATGGTGCACCGCGTCATCGAAAATTGGCGTGAGCGGGTGACCGTCTGCAAAAAGAGCCGCGGCGGTCATTTGGCCGATATATTATGTAAAACATAAATTGCATAAAATTATCTGTCAAATAAATCAATCGGATGCATTTTTCATAAAAAATTGTGTGTTTTATTCAATTTTTAAACCAGGACGTTCTTATTGGTAGACCCCATATTTGTATCAGTTGTCTAGTACCTATAGTACAAGCTCTGCTTAGTTTGGGACTAGATGGCGTTGTGTGAATGTGGTAAATATATACATGAAACGGACACAAAGAACACTCAGACTCAATATCATTATGTGGATCGCACAGTGTTATCCCATGTGGGGTTTGAACCCCAAACACAGCGCAGTAAAAAGTGGCTAGAAGACCGCTTAAACCACTGCGCCATCCGTGCAGTCAGTTACATTAAATCATACATATCTAGTCGTGAGAGACCCATGCTTCGTCACAAATAGACCAGCTCGTCTCATGTGATACCACGGCCTCACAGAAACAGTGTTAAGCAGTTCTTTAGTTTGTAAGGTTACAGGAGGCCCAACCAAGACAAAGGACTTGTGTCTCTTAAGTTGAAGGTGTCCATGGGCGGCGGTAGTCACTTACCACAAAAAATCACCCTTTTCTCCTTCAGGATAGGCAGAGACACCAGCCCGCCTCTTTCTTCTATTCTTACATACCTCACTACCATCCTCTACTGTCAGTAAAACTTTTACGCCTACTGTCGGGAACTTCCGAACTGCCTTTCCTGAAAATGACGAAAAACCGTTTATCCCTTATTTGCCTCCTTAGGTGAAACTTTCAACAGCCTGCACTAGTCCACTGCTGGATATAGGCCTCTCCTCAGAACACCCACGGGATGAATAGGGGTGGTGACTCTCTGTATTCTTAATCCGTCACCACACGGATCCTTTCCTGGTGGGTGCTTACATGATAAAAAGCAACAGCTGCCAAAATTTCTAACCCCAGCGGTTTAGTTTCTGTCATGTCTACTAATTTTATATGTATAGATTACTTTTAAATATTTTTTTTACAGATTTATGGCTTTAAGCAGTAGTCAGTTCGTTGAGAGGCGAGTATATGATGATGACGTAGATGTAGCAGCGGAACCTCCAGCAGCAAAGGTAAGGAAAGAGTTCCACATAAACACAAAACTATGCCATCTAACGAAGAAACACCGGTTACAAAAAAATTATGGTCTACTAATCTTGCATCGCGCAATAGAAGTTCTTTTTTTGCCTACAAGAAAAAAAAATCCTCATCATCATCAACAGCCTTTAATAGTCCACTGCTGGACATAGGCCTCTCCTTAGAAAAAATATATGTCCATTTATTTTGTCTTCTATCAGGAACCACCAAAACTGTCACCACCAGACGAGCTCTCGATCCTGAAACGGAGCATAGCGGTGATCGAAAAGACGCACGAAGTAATTACCATTCTGCAGGACAGTGATACCGAGTCTGATACTGATGATGAGATGCCTGACAGGTAAGTAACCTGAGGAGTCTACTCTGGACTCGGAGGGATAGCCCCTCGATATGAAATTAGGGTCGTATGACGCGAATATCTGTACTTATTGTTTTTTTCTTTATTATTTTTGCTCATACGTTTTGTCCTTTTTAATGATATGGTGTAGAAGGGCAAGCGAGCAAATCGGTCACCTGATGGTAAGTGACTCCCACCGCCCCAAGTTTGCAACTCAAGAGTCACCTTTTGAGCCCCCTCCAAGAAGCAGTTGAAGATAAACAGGGCTTCGGCTCCGGTAATCTCCCTCACTCGGTGAAACCCAACGAGAAAATAGGTTAACACCGGTCTTCTGTGAGGCCGTGATATCACTCCTGCCTATGGTCATGGAGTGGGCCAGGGATGGTTCTCCCATGGTCAAAGAGTTGTTTAAATGTTTGTCTATTTCCTTTGAATACTGATGAAGACTCCATCTTGTCGCAGATTGGTGATGAAACCGAAGGACATGTACGCAGATCGCCCTCTCCCTTACATCATAGGATCAGAGCCATGGAAAAACAAGTGGCATGCAGGTACTAAATATTAAATTGTATCTTTATTTCTTCTCTCTCTCTACACTTCTTCGGCAACAGCCAGTTTAAGAGACCCTGATCAGCTCGAGCGGTTGCTGACTCTCCCATCCCTTATCTACTTTTTCACTAAACTTCAAGGGTAGGGTGGGTATTCTATCAGTCTCAGATGGGTCAAGAGAGTCCAGCAGCTCGAAGAGGCCTTGCAGAGATGAAGTTTCTCCAGGACAGCTTAATATTCTTTGTTGATAAACTAAATAAGAGCATGGAATGACGTCACAGGTTGTTACTTCACACAAATACTTCTTGTATTATTGCAATGTCGTAAAATACTTCCAACCCCTCCAATATATGTACTTCTAAATTATTTTCGTTTCCATGGCAGGTTCTTCCCAAGTGTCATAGCTCGGTGTGGTTGTGACCCACAAACACACCGAGTTATGACACTTATACACCACTACTGTTAATACTGGTGTACAGGAGTGGTGTATAAGAAGGATTGATCCCACAAATGTTTGACAGAATGCACTGTTATGACGTTTAACTGATTTGAAAGGACACAACAGCTGTATTATAATATAAAATCATGAAACCATATCTTTTTCCTAAGGACTGGTGCCTGAAGACAGCGACACAGACAGTTCCACGTCGAAGGTAGACCGGGAGTCCGACCAGTACTCGCAGTCGGAGCCCGAGGACTTTGATCTGGTGAACAGCTCCAAGGTGCAGGATATACCTGCTCCTCGACGTGTGAGAAAAGTAAGGGTTATTAGTCTACTAATTATTGGTTACGCTCGCGTGTATATTTATTTTCATGAAATAGGGGAGCAAACGAGCAGACGGGTCACCTGATAGTAAGTGCCTACCGTCGCTGGGTTCCCGCTTTGAGTCCTTACTCCAGATTACGGGGGAGTAGGGCTTTGGGCTCTAGTACCCCTCACCTAACATCTGACGGGGAACTTCTTATCCTCTAAGAGCTTCAGCAAGACCCAAGTATCACTACATCCTCACAGACAACTGATATTAAGCAGTTCTAGAGTGAGGTATTGGTTGTGGGCTTCGGTTTCCGCATTTAGGCTCAGAGTGGTCCTTTATGCGTCGAGGATTGGTTGACTAGGTGAGCCAGCCAAGCTCCTTCCAGAAGCGCAGAAGCTTCCTGGGGCGTTCACAGGCTTCTAGGACCGACTTTATATCGGGAATGATACTTGCCCGTTGTGTGGCCACTCCCTCGCATTCCAGGATTACGTGGACGGCCGTTTCTTCAGCTTCCAGACATCCCCTGCACAGGGGACTGTCCGTCGCATTGATGATGAATAGTTGTCGGTTCAGGGCTAGATGTCCTGTAATAGTTCCGACAACCATTCTGATTTCCAGTCTGCTAAGACTGATCAATCTGCAGGTGAGTCGTGGTGTGACTTTATTCAGCACCAGTTTGGACTGTCTGCAGCCGGGTGAGTTTTTCCACCTCCGGTTTTGTGCTTCACAGGTCCGTTGCCTGACCCAGCATCGTATTTGGTTAAACGATATGGGCAGGAGTGTGGTTAGGCCGGAAGTCGGGGTAGAGGGTTCTAGAGTGAGTATTGTTACTAAGACCCAAAGAGGCTCCTCCATGTAGGGGTGAGGGTGAGTTTATATATTTAAAGGCCGGCTTGTGTCTCTTAAGTTACTCTTGTTCATGTGCGGCGGTAGTCATTTACCACCAGGTGACCCTTCTACCCCTTTGCCCTACCAGAAAAGTGGAGCGTCCTACAGTTTTTAGCTATAAAATAACGAAATTCATGTTTTGTTCTAGTTGTCGGAGACCAGCTCGGATGTACCCTCAGAGACAACCCCTAACACGAAGCCGACGCCGTCAGACGTCGCCAGTGAGATCGCCAGGCGGTTAGGGGGTGGAGAACTTCCTCCGAGGGTAAGTTATCTACACTTGGAGTTAAATAAAATCACTACCAAAGAAATAAATTGCAGCCCCTAGCTCTCTTGTCAAAAAAATATCACATCACATCAACAGCCTTTTATAGTCCATTGCTCGACATAGGCCTCTCCTTAGAAAGGAGGTTTTGGCCTACTATACCACGCTGGCCAGACGGGTTGGTATAGGGTTTGTGTCAAGTTTTCCTTCTCTATGCAGTTCTGTTGTCCTGCGTAGTTTGCTCCCATAGTCGGCTTTTACGACACCCACGGGATGAATAGGGGTGGTGACACTCTGTATTCTTAATCCGTCACCACACAACACCAAACACAAAGGAGGAGACAAAATCACATGAGCCGGTTGTTCCCAGAGTAGGGTGTTTGAGGCCGGCATTCAGGGTAGTTTTGTGAGTTACTACATACTCCTGGCTTATGAGTCTCTAAGGAGCAGGAGATCCGAAGGGATTTTACACCCCGTCAACAAAAAAAAAAGGATAGGTTAGGTAGTTACGACATATACCCTCAAAACTCTTAATGTAACTTTGTACAGAGTTTTTTTAAAATTATGAAAAGCTTTTTTTTATATAAATTTTATATAAAAAAACAACTCCCGCATTAGGAATATATCCTGTGTCGCGGGAGACTTTACAAACATACATGAAACGGCCACAAAGAACATCCAGACTCAGAACAACAATTTGTGGATCACACAAAGTCTTCCCATGTGGGTTTGAACCCACAGCACTCGGTGTGGCGACCGCTTAAACCACTACGCCATCCGTGCAGTCCGTCATAGCTAGTATCTATTAAAATTGGAAACAGATCATGACGATGTTATAATTTGGTTGGTAGGTGGTGGAACAGGAGCCTGAAGACGAGGAACCCCCCAAGCCAGCCGTCAGGAAGGTGTACAAGCCACAAGAACCAGTTGCCAGTAAGTAAAGAAACAAATATTTTTTATGTCATAGTAATAATAATAATAATTACATCACACATCTCACACACGGCCGTCTGATCCCAAACTAGGCAGAGCCTGTGCAATGGTAACCAGACCGCTGATAAACATACTTATATATTTCTAAATACATACATATTATAGATAAATTACACCCAGACACAGAACAAATGACCGTGCTCATCACACAATATTTGTCCTGGGTGGGAAAAAAGAGAAAACCTGGGGTTTGCGGTAAAACCACACAGTATTCTGTGACATGTAAAGTCTAGGGTAGGATGTCCCCGAGAAACAAATCTATACAAATAAATAAAATTGTAGTGTCTGTTTGTAATGTCAAACAGACACTTTTTTCATGCTTACACGATTATTTGCACGATACCTGTGCTTAAAAGCCAGTTTAAATATTTTTTGTCTCTCCGTCTGTTTGTTCTGGGTAATCTTCCAAACGGCTTTACCTATTTGATAATACTGTACTACCAGGTAGCTGTCTGTATAAGGAGTAACTTAGGCTATTTTATCTCAGAAAACCCCTTTAAAACGCACGCTTTTCAAATTCCACGCAAACAAAGTCCAGCAGTCCAAAGTACCAGCTGGTTTATAATAATATTTATACTAATATCTGTTAACATCCAGTTACCTCACAATTTTAAAGGGTTTTTCTACAAACCTTCCTCAAAGAAATATTAAAATAAAAAAGCTTAAATGGCCGAGCTTAGTGCTTAACATTTGGTGATTCATTTTTATTTATATAGATTATAATTTCAATTTGATTATCACCATACTTGTAACCAGAAATTATCTAAGAAGAAAACATAACTGATCTCTCCTATTCACCCAAGGTACGATATTCCCGGACGAGCCACCCCCCCTGGAGTACCAGACCGACTCCGACACGGATATCTTCGCGGATCTGCACCGCAAGCAGCCGTACAACCAGCCCTACTCCAGACAGTACGTCTCCGACCAGCTGTTCGGCGGGAACGAGACGGACAGCGAAGAGGGTGGGGATATATTCAGTGATTTTGCCAACCAAGTAAGTATATTGCTTGCGTTACACGTTCTGAGCGGATGAAAGCGAGACCGGTGTGTAACAAGACTTTTTTCCGACACTTCTTGCTATAGGACGCTTAGATCTTTTTTAAACTAAGCAACGGATTTTAATAATAGATAATGATTTAAGAGAAAGGTTTAAATGTATATTTTATTATATTATTATTTATACAAACAAATGAAATTCAAGTGTCTGTTTGTAATGTCAAAATAATAGGTTTTTTTCATGCTCACACGGTTATTTACACGATACCTATGCCTAAAAACCAGATTATTATTTTTTTGTTTGTCTGTCTCTTTGTTCCGGAGTTATCTTCTAAACGGCTAGACCGATTTCGATAATATTTTACTACCAGGTAGCTGTCTACATAAGGAATAAGTTAGGCTATTTTTCTTCTTAGAAAAACCTTTAAAATTTGTCCCGGTCCGGGCATCGAACCCACTAAGGTAGCACTTTTCAGATTACACGCTAAAGAAGTCGCGGGTACCAGCTAGTGGTAGATAAAAACCGAGAATTTCAAAGATTATATATGTGAATAAATTGCAGACGCTGGCTAAACCTTACGAGATATACCAAAATAATGTACTACGGAGTTGTATATCTTGAAAAGATCCACAAAAAAATCCGTAATGGTATATGTCTACCTCCTAAGGATAAACCACAGTAACCCTTTTTATTTTTTAAATATTACAAAAAAAGGGGTTATTCACGAATCTGTCTTCATCAACAGCCTATACTAGTCCACTGCTGGACATAGGCCTCTCCTTAGAAAGGAGGTTTTAAAAATAAATCTGTCTTAAAAAATACAATTTTATTCCTTATCTAATTAAATACATTAGTTAACAACATATTAAAATGAATATTTTAGAAGATATTAGAGGTCTAAAATGCGGGGGCAAAGCGGCCTTCACTGCGTCAGGCCGTACATCCTTTCCGGGTGGCAATGGCCCCGGCAGGAACGGAGCGGGCCTATATAAAGCGAAAAGAATTTCGTTTCGACCGGGGGTCCAGAAACCCCTTACGCCGTTTTTATTTTATTTTATAGTAGTCCATAGAGGCGGGGACCTGATGGTAAATTGGTAAAATGGATTATGTGTTTCCACAGCCAGCTACTAAACCGGTATCCCTCTTCGAAGCCGGCCCCACGCCCCACATGTTCGATAAACAACGTGGCGTTGATGTACCGGGGGTAGGCAGGACACTACAGAAGAACACAGAAACACTGGGCAGAAGTGTTGAACAACCGAATGCTGGTGCCACTGTTGATGTAAAAAGCGTGAAGGTAATTGTTTTTTCCCCTTAGGGGCCAAGTAAATATTCGTTCTTTTCAATTTCATTTATAATTGGTGATTGTTCTAAAATACTGAATTATTGAAATCAAGTACGTGACATAATGACAAACAATTAAAATATATATATATATATATATATATATATCATCAACAGGCCTTAATAGTCCACTGCTGGACATAGGCCTCTCCTTAGTAAGGAGGGTTTGGCCTACTACACCACGCTGGCCAGACGGGTTGGTATAGGATTTGTGTCAAGTTTTCCTTCTCTCTGCAGTGCTGTTGTCCTGCGTAGTTTGTTCCCTTAGTCGGCTCATACGACACCCACGGGACGAATAGGTGTGATGTTTTATTCTTTCCAAGATTGCGGGTTTACGCAGAAGTGAAAAGAACGAAGAATCAAACAGTCAAAGAAATAAATATTACAATTTATTGGCAAAACAAAAATACATAAATTGTTATGAACCTGAATTGCACCATATAATATGACTGCACGGATAAACGTTGTGGGTTCGATCCCTACATGGGACAATACTTTGTGTGATGCACAAATTGTTGTTCTGAGTCTGGGTGATCTTTGCGTCCCTTTAATGTATGTTTATAAATGGCCAGGATATATATTCCTAAGTCCTACATCCAGTCTTTATCTCGTAATTGTCATTTTTCTAATCACTCATTTAAAAAGTAATAATAAATAAAATAAAAAATCTTCCACAGAAACCAGTTGGAGGTATATCTCTATTCGGCTCAAATAAAGGCGCTGAAAACATAGGCGCCGCCATATTGAAACGGAACCGCAGCAAATCATACACATCCAGTGAAGAAAGCGGAACTGAAACACCATCAAAAACATCACCAATAAGGGGCGAAAAAGAACAACAAGCAAAAAAAGAGAAAGATATATTCGATGATCTGTTCCCTAAAACAGAATCCAAAAAAGTTATGCCAAAGAGAAATAACGTTGAAAAAGATATTAAACAAGAGATCCAGAAACAAAAGGAGGATAAACAGAAAAAAGATACGCCTAAACCAATTGATTTGTTTAGTGATAATCTTTTTGATGATATTGATGATATATTCACAACTAGTGTTGTAAAAGAATCAAAAGATAAAAATAAATCTATATTTGAAGGTGATGATGATCTGTTTGCTGAAGTTGCTGATAAAAACTCTACTGTACATCAAAACCCTAAGAATACATTAGATGATAAGAAAGGGTTATTTGATAGCGATGATGATTTGTTTTCAGAAAATGTTCCAAAAAATAAGCCTAGTATTTATAATGAACCACAAAAGGGCGCTGAAATTAGAACTAACCCCATTAAAGTTAATGAACCTAGGACAGTTAGTGAAATATCTAGTAAAAATGATGAAGAAGCAGCTACAAATGCAACTATGCCTGATATTATCAAAGGAAAAGCCAGTATTTTTGATGATGATGAGAACGATATATTTAGTAACGTTAAAAGTAATAAGAATAATTCTAAAGCTGAATATAGTTCAAGTAAAGGTGCTGTAGCTAAAAATATTGATACCTCTAAAAGTATCTTCAAAAGTCCATCACTTTTCGATGATGATGACGATGAAGGAAATTTATTTACTGATCCTAATAAAACTCAAAAGAATATACAAAATGATGCAACTGAAAAAGTGTTTATTACTTCAATCGTAAAACCTGAAAATGTTGTTAATGTAATTAAAAAAGATACAGACGATGAATTGTCTGTTGAGACATTTAATAAACCAGAATTTGGAGAAGATGAATTCTACAAAAATAATCTTCTAGTCGCTAATAAAATTTTAGATGAAACACCAAGTAAAAATAAAACTGAAATTACTGACAGTAATTCTGTAATATCAGATGATATCAAAAATGATAGAAAAGAAATAGATAATGATGATATATTTAAACAAAATGATTTAATCAAGACTGATGTATTTAAAGAACCAAAAACTATTACTAATGTTGTAGCTAAAGATACCCTTAAAGAGACAGAAGACACCACTACCGAAAGAAATGGCAGATTTGAAGATAATGATTTTCTTCCTAATGTCATTGAAAATTCAAAGTTGGTATGTACAACTAATTTAAATATTCATTCAGAAACTACAGAAGCTCAAAACCTATTCGTTGATACTGCATCAAATAATAATTTTAACCAAGAGGAATTTAATGATGAATGTATAGAAGAAACGAAAACTGAAATTTCTAAGAACAATATAACTGAAATAACAAGTAAAGAACTTGATCCAGACAAACCAAATATCAACATTCATGATACATTAAAAAATTTACACACATTTGATAATAGCTCATTAGGAAAGGATATTTTCGCAACACCTAATAATATTTCTAGCTTTGAAGAAGCAACTATAAGCAGTATAGAAAAACTTGAAGATGTAAATAAAATCCCTAACGCAGATATTTTTAGTGATATCATATCTGAACCACCAGATTTTGAGAAACCGAAAGAACCTAAGAAGAGCAAAAACGTAAATGCTCTATTCGATGATGATTCTGATGATGAAACGTTATTTTTCAAGAGAGATGACGTCATCGTAGACGAGAAACCGGAAGATTTTACCGCCAAGCAAGATAGATTATTTGACATGTTCACTAGTGAACCGCCAGATGAAGATTTCACTAATATCAATGATGGTTTAGATGATGATTTGTTTAGTACATTGCCTAAACCCAAACTTCCTCATGAACACATAGCAGCAAGTAACATTATTGCTGATGATGAATATAATAAACCTACTCTGAATGATATACCAAATGTCAGTGACGACATCAGAACTGAAGCTCCCCCAAATATATTCAATCTAAAAGAAAATAATGAAGACTTAGTTCTTGGTAATTCAGAAATCATTAAATCAGGGCCCTCTAACGAAGCAGCTAGTATATTTAATGACAATAATAACATGTCCAAACAACCTGAAAGTTTAATAAGGAATAGGTCAGAAAAGCTATTAACTGATGACTATGATGATGATGATGAATTGTTTAAATCGTTACCTATACAGCTACCAGGACCTAATGTAGATTCCAAATCTAGAAATTATGACAATCCTGATGAATCGTTTATGTCTCTGCCCTCTAATTTAGATGGAGAAATATCTAATGAATTTCGTAAACCACCATTAAATTTCAAACTACCCACAGAGCCATCAGATTCAAACTCTAGATCTGAAGTAAAAAAAGTTGGCAAATTAAAGTTAGGCCTTAATATAAATGTTAATGCCTTATTGCCCGGGGCTTCACCTAAAAAGATAAAACCAGTCGACAATATAGATGGACAGACTCAAAGTCAAGTTGAAATTCAAAAGGCCGAACCGATCATCTTTGATGGGGAACCCGAAGCAAAAATTCTTGACAATAAACTGTCTAAAGAAAGACCTAGAATTCCAGTAAAGAGGAGACCATCTACTCGGAAAGCTAGAAAAGAGGCAGTCAGAAAATCTGGTATAGATTTTGGTGATGATTCTACTGATAATTCTAGTTCTTTAGATGATGCTCCTAAAAAAGAAATACGACCTGATGTTAAAATAACTGATAAAATAAGTGACCATGTCATCGAACAGCCTACCAAAGAAGATATAAGTAGCGAAGATAAATACGAAGAAAAGCAAAAAGTTGAACTTGAAAACACAGAATCTGAGAATTTGAATGTTGAAAATGAAAACCCTATTGATATATCTGTTGAAAATAAAAACAAGACAGATATTTTAGACAATCAAACTAAAATTGAAAGTGATAGTAGACCGCCTGTAAAATCCGATAGTACAACTAAAATTGTGTACATACTAAACGATGAAGATATTTTTAATACTACTAATATAGAAGACCCCTTAAATAAAATGAATTTATCTACTAATCAAAGCAAAGAACAAGATCCAAAAAATAGCGAGTTAAGTTCAGAACAGAACTTAAGTTCAGTTATCACTGACAGCAATTTGATTTCAAACATGAATTCGGAACCAGGTATTAAAACTCTTGGAAAAGCTTATCAATCTATAAAAAGTAATGAAAATAAAAAATCCAAATCACTGTTCGGTGAAGATGAAGAGTCGGATGATGAAGAAATATTTAAAAATAAAACAACAGTAGTTAAAAGTACTATATTTGATTCTGATAGCGAAGGAGAGCTTTTTGGAACTGCTAAGAAAATTGAGACTGTACAAAATGTAGAGAAAGTAGTAAAAGAAGTGAAACGACCTCTATTCGGTGATGATGACGATGATGATCTGTTTGGGGTGAAAACTAGCAAGCCAGCCGGTAAGTGAAATTAGTAGTATTTAATTGGATAGTACTCAATACGTCTAGTGCCTTAGTACGAGTTTATTTCACATCAACTAGCTCACGACGGCGACTACACTTGGCGTTCGATAGGTGATGAGCTCAGTCCAGGCCAGAGCGAGTTCATGTGAAATAGAACAGAGGGCCTAGTGTAGGTTACATTAGGCCCTCAGATCTCAAACTACGCAGAGTCTGTACTATGTTAACCAGACTGCTAATAAAAATACTTATATCTTATGAAATACATACATATTGAAGATAAATTTTATAACACACGTAATAATCGTGTTCATAAGACAATTATTTTTCCTAGGTGAGAATCTATTCTACGACCTCTGGCTCAGCAGTGAGACTTACTAACCACTAGGCATAAAGGTTGGACCTATTTGTTTTTTATCTTTCCACAGAATCGCAGCAGTCTACAAAGTCTTCGACTGTCAAAGAAACTTCAAAACTAACAGAACCCGTATTCGAAGACCCGCTCTCAATGTTTGGCGATGAAGATTAGTGAGCAACTAGAGATAATAGATGGCGCTAGTGGGACGTGAGTCTTGTTTGACAGAACATGAACTGAAAAGTACGAGGCTTGTTTTTGACGAAATTGACGAAATGTTACATGTGGAATTTTTAGTAAATCACATTGTAACATTTTATTTTAGGAATCCTTTATATAGCATGAAATATATTTTGTTTAGTAATTTGTGGGAGTAAGTTCTTATTTTCGAACTGTATGATCCATAGACTTGATATATATTTTTTAATAAGGTAGAGCTGGGCAGATTTTTTATCAAATTTGAGCCCATCATCCGAACACATACACGGGTAAAACAATCAGTACTACGAAATATCCATGGTGTATTTGATGGTTGCTCTGTTTTTTTCATAACTTAGCGGCAATCAAATAGACTTGTAAGTAAACTAGTTTATATTAAAAATAATGAGTAAGGCACGGGAGGGTGAGGGGAGATTTGATTCCAGCCAGGATCAGTGGCAGTAACAGAGGTCACATTAATAAAAAAAATTACACTTACAATTAATTAAAAAAAGTGACACAATAGGAGCGACCTTAAATCGTTTGGGTCAAATTAGAGTTCATCACAGAGGCCAGAGGTCAAAATTCGACCATAATTTACTAAACTTCTTTAATGTCAACTAGACAGAAAACCAGTTGCAGTTTACTGAATTAAAATGTTGTCTTTGCTTCTTATTGGTCTATGTATATTTAGAGTTCGAAAATACAGCAATTTCTCCATCTATTTCTTTCTCTCTTTTTCTATTAGCAAAGAAAGAAAAGAAAAAGAATGCAATCAAAGCGAGCCTGGTGATGTTTTGCAAGATGCGTCCCACTAGCGCCACTAAATAAATGTAATTAAATGAACAATTATGGAGCCAATATTATATGCTTTTGCTTAGAGCGACAAAACATTCCAATGTTATTTATTTATTGTTTTATTTTTAAGATTTTTTTATTTTAGTTTAGAAATAATATGAGATTATTATACGAATATTTATTTGTATACTTAATAATTTGAGATTGAGGGGTTAACACTTGCAACCTAAAATGCTTTAAGTCAGTAGAATGAGATTCACTGAAACCAACCTTTATTTTGTAATTCAGCAAATCTCCAATAGGTAATTATTAGACTTGCAACGAATAGTATATTCGGCAGTATACCGAATACCGAATATTCGGCGAGGCCCCTGACCGAATAGCCGAATATTAGGCAGAAGTATTCGGCTGGATTTTAGCGCCCAAAACTTGTACAGACGTGAATTAAATTATGTACCTGTTTTATGTACCAATGACTACTTAATAAATGATTATAAATGAGAACCTTACCCTTCTAAATTTTGATTACCACAATAATTCAAATACATAGAATCCTCCATTTTTCCAATTCAGAAGATGATTATGTACCTGTGTTATGCACCAATGACTACTTAAATGATTATAACAGAAATAAAAATATGAATATATACGTAATCAATCGTTTTTAATTTTTCATTTTACCAATTATTTCTCAATGACAAGATATATTATTTAAGTATTCGGTATTCGGCCGAATAATATGTAGATATTCGGTATTCGGCGAATATAATAAAAGAAGCCGAATAGGCCGAATACCGAATAGTAACCGAATATTCGTTGCAAGTCTAGTAATTATTATTTAATAAATGAATTCTAACTGCTGGCAAGCACGATTACCTGAGTTGTTTTCGTTGGCCTAAAATTGGTCTGGTATTTACGGGTGCAGCGACCACAACTCCCAAGTTTTTCACACACCATCATCAAACAATGTGATAATATTTTGCTACCAAAGGTCCTGCTGTTAAAAATGAAAATTTACCTAACGTTTAAGGTGCTTATTTGAATAAGGCCTAACGTATTATATACACATCTACTCATCAGTACGGGAAAATTCATACCGCAATGCAGTACTTACTAAGTAGTTCAGTATGATTTCACTAGATGGCGCTGTATATATTGTGTTCAGGATAACCTGTTGCTTATTTCAGCATTATAAATAGTGCAAATGTAAGCCTGTTTTTTTTTAATTATTTCCAACTAAAAAGGTTTTGAGGTTATTTTTATTATACGATTGTTAATGATATGAATCGATGTGTAAATAAATGTTTGTTTACGATTGTTTATAGAGTTTAGCATCGCTCTGTCAAGTGCCTACGGAGTTATTCTTGTATCGAATGTAATAATAAAACGTTGTACGTTAAATGTTTGTGGTTTTATTTCATTTTTTGTCATTGTTTCATACTATTATAATTGCACAATCAATTATATCTGTCTGCCTGGTTTTTTTATGATATAGGGTGCAAACGAACAGACAGGTCACGTAATGGAAAGTGATTACCGCCACCCAGCAACGCGTGCAACTCAAAAGTCACAAGCGCGTTGTCCATGTTATGAATTTTATACTATATATTCTCTGACACTTTTGTTATAAGTGTCGATAGATGGCGTTGAACCGAACATCTGAACCGCGCTATAGTTTGTTACCGTATACTATATAGGGTACTAACTATATAGGGTAAATAAAATCCGAAGCATCTGAGTTGTGCTCCCTTAGCTACTTTGACTCTGCTCCGACTCACCCCAACCCTCTATTGGTTGCGGCTGTTAATTACACACCCAGCACGATTTCACGCACACGCAGACCGAAACACGCTCTAGTAGAGCCAGACGACACGATCACCCTCGCTCAGCAGCGAGTGTACACAGCTCGCGCAGCTACCACAAATCGTCCGCGATTCCGTCCTCGCCGCCGGGGCCGAAATGCGCGCCGCGTTAACTCCTAAATGTGGGTCTTGGTCGCCCTAGTTTGCCAGTAACGCCCCAAGCCGAGGTTCGTACCCCACAGGGGGTGCCCTTGGGCGATGATACATAATTAAGACCGGTTGAGAGCCCTCTGCGCTCACCGAAAAGCCCGGGCAAGGTTGTCGAGGCCATCCGAGGCCAACAACCAAACATCACAAAAAAAAAAAGAAAAAAGAAGCATCCGAGCGTGCTCAAGAAACTAGGCTCTTTTAAAGCAAGCAATGGGTAGCACACCCCACAGGCAGAGTCAAACCACGATCACTTAAGTTAGGGTTTTTCAATGCCAATGGCATTGCTAAGCAAAGAGACGAGATAGGTGAGTTTCTTAGAGCACAGCAACTCGATATCTTACTGGTGCTAGAGACCTATCTTAAACCATCACAAAGAAACCCTAAGATTGCGAACTACTGTGTGGTCCGCTATGATAGGCAGGACTCTCCCCTAGGTGGGACACTCATTTACTACCGAAGTTCCTTGCACTGCATACATGTGGATCCGCCCGCGCTGACGTACATTGAGGCGTCGGTCTGCCGACTGGGCATGACTGGACACCAACCCATCACCTTAGTGTCAGCCCATCTGTCACCTAGCTCTACCGCCAATAGACCAAGGCAATTACTTGAGACAAAGGAGAGACAATGACTTCCCAAAAAAGGAGGGGTCTGAGGTACGTCGGGGTGCCAGGGATTTCCTTTCTAGGGTACACCTGGTTCCCCAGCTACAGGTACCCGAGACGGCGTGTGGTTTTTAGTCAGTTCGAGCCCGACATAGCCACCCCACTGGTGGGTGTCCGAACAGGAAAAAATAGCAATAAGGGTATAGTGCCTCACCCCAATTCTAAATCCTTTAGTGGGTTGCAGAATTCAAAACCACTAAATGGAGCTATGAAGGTTTTTTTTGTATATATTTTCACTACAAGACGATGTAATTTGATTACAAATATTTTTTTGTATGAAGACCCACCATTGTTCTTTCAAAAGATTTTTAAACCAATAAAATATTTTGTTTCATAATTTATTGCTTTAGAAGAAACGGTTCTCCATACTTTTCCAAATTAAAATAAACTAAACAGCTGTGACGTCTGGCTGAATTGATCTGACATTCAAAGCCGTTACACATCTAAAAAAATACATCCCAAATGTCAGCTTCAATTACTGTCAACGTCAAGCGATCAAGTCAACGCGATTGTCGCATGGTGGATTTCATGTTTTTAAATATATAACCAAAATGAAGATCCCACAGAAGAGCAAGGAAAAGAAAGACAAGGTGAATAAAAAAGAGAAAATGAAGCCTAGAAAAGAGCAAGTGCTAATCGTAGCCCAGGAAATTAAATTCGCTCGACTATTGTCATGCAATGAGAAGAAAAGTCGAGATAAAGTATTAAAAACGCTAAAGAAATGGCTTTTGAACTGCTTTGAGAAAAAATATGGTTAGTATTTTGTGACTTAAGGTTCCTAGGTAAGGTAATTTATGTAGCTAAGTTATATAAATGAATTGCGTCGATATTTAGGACCCATCACTTAACCTCAAATTTTTTACGACTTATTTTAAAACCATCATCATAAAATACCACTTAATTAGCTCACAATGCGTAATACATATTTATATCATTGATCTAATATTTATTTATCATATGTACTTAAAGCTATCATTACAATATGGCATGCATTTTTATCAAATGTAATTAGTTTTAATCAAACACAAACACACTATGCTTTACATACGACAATTCATTTATACATTAATACATTTCGCTTTAATTACACACAAACTATTTCATTGTTTTTAATAAATTTATTGAGTAACTAGTTATAGTTTGAGTCAACTAAGGGAACAAACTAAGCAGGACAACAGCACAAAGGAACAAACCATATACCAACCTGTCTGGCCAGCGCCATATAGTAGGCCGAAATCTTTCTGAGGAGAGTCCAGCAGTGGACAAATTAAGTCTGTTGATGACGATGATGATAAAAAGAAAAAAATCAAAAAAATCGGCAGTTTTAACATTGTTGTAGAACTTGTTGCACTAACAAGTATACTTATTCTCTTAACTTATTCTTCTCTGTGCTTTTATATTATCCTAAAATATTGTGCTAGATATATATTGTTTGAATAAGTAAATAACAATAAATTGCAGCAAAAACTAGTTTTAGGGCCTGTCTCCACAGCAATATTTAACAGCGTGTTTTTTTCGAAAATTCAAAATTCTGTGACATGGGATCTATATATAGGACTATGCAAAAGAAATCTGTGATTTATATCCGGTAAAATATTGCTGTGTGGAAAACGTTAAATTAAAGGTTTTTTTCTTTGGCTCTCACTGAGTGAGGAAGGTTACCGGATGCCCAACCGTCTTTCAACTAATTCCAAGACAGTTGAACTTTACCTGCGACTTCCCAGACATCATTACTTGGTGTGTTCATTACTCTTGATGCTGGTGTACACTAGTGGGCTTGTGGGATGCATTAGTCCATTCATTGTTTTTTTTATTTTAGACTTCAAAGAGGATGACTTTGTGCGCATGTGGAAAGGACTGTTTTATGCTGTGTGGATGTCGGACAAGCCTCTGGTACAGGTTAGTAACACGATAAACCCCTTCAGAAACTTTTAAATGAACTTCGAGTATGATATGGTACTGAAGACATTCATATGGTTGGGATTGGATCAGATCAAGTAGATTGATTTATGTTTTAAACTAGTTTTAAACATTTTCTTCCCCAGCAGTTGTCAGGATAACAAGTTTTTTGCTGATTTTTTTTAGTTGAAGTTTATTAAGAATTATACATAAATAACACCTAGACATAGAACAAATGATTTGGAAATCATTGGGAGAGGCCTATGTCCAGCAGTGGACAAGCATAGGCTGAGGTATAAATATATGTCGAATAATAAAAGGAGGGGTTATTAAAAAAAGGGCAGACCCGCTGACCCAGTTGGGGCCAACGGTTCTGCTTACAATATCATAGAGTTTAATATTCCTTTCTTTGTAACTATTTACAATACGCATATGCAATCTAGTAAAATATTTGTATGAAGAGGTTCAGCAATAAAAGCAAGTAAATTAAACATCACAGTATCAATTTATTATAAATCAAATTAACATAGTTTCACTTACAATGTTACGCCTTTCGGAGTCGCCAGCAAACTGAGCCTCTCGACTCGAATCGCTGGCTTTTATAATGCACTCCCCGCCATTCCAAAGTTTAGCTAGCCATACACGCACAGATCTGCCCGCTGGATCTGTCCGACAGACGTGCCTGGCGGACAGATCCGTGCGTGTATGGTGAGAACGGACACGGATTTGCACGCCCGGAGCCTGCCCGCTGCCCGTGGTCAAATCGAGCGGATCGGGCACGGGGCGGGTAGATCCGAGCTCCCAACTGTGCGTGTGTGCGTAGCGGCGGATGTACCCGCCAGATTTGACGTCAGTCGCGCTCTAACACTCGAAGTATGGAGGGTCCTCTACCCTCCAAGGAGAACCATCTCATATATTAAAAAGTGTCCACTGAAAGGCAGCAAATTAAGATGGCGCCACAATAGCAAGTGGGTGGAAAATTTAAAAATAGCGCCACAGATAATTAGAGTAGGATACGATTAAAGAAGGAAAGAAGCTTTCCCATTGCTTCTACACTAGTTTAAAAAGACTAGTTTTTACAGACGACCGTATTTGCTGGCATTACAATCTGAACTGCTGCCCGTACTCGTGTGTGGCGAATCACGGATCTGCCTGTCGGACAGATCCGGCAGGCAGATCTGTGCGTGTATGGCTAGCTTTTACGTCACATTAACACGTGGTTTTACAAATACCCACATAATTGAATACCTACCTAATTCTATGCAATGTCATAGTTAAACTCTAATTACAATTGTTTATCAAATCTAGAACTGTTTGTTATTGAATCAATCTGCGCTTAGTAATTAATAATTTAGAATAATGTTAATAATTTAATCATCCATTTATAAATGCGGCGACATATATATAGAACAAATAATTACACTTATGCAATTATTTTACCTGGTCCAGAATAAAATCAATGCACGGATGGCATATTAGTTTAAGCGGTAGCCTCGCCGCTTCCTACTGTGCTGAGTGTTGTGGGTTCGATCCCCAGATGTGACAACGCTTCGTGATCTGCAAATTTTTGTTCTGAGTCTGGGTTTTCTTTGTGTCAATTTCGTGCATATTTTAGTAAAGTACCCTGCGACACAGGATATGGTCCTAAAGCTGCTTTTTAGAAAACTATCAGTGTTATACATAACTGTGGAACAAGTTATAGTCTGCAGTATTTCCGGACCGATACGAGATTCAAACCTTCAAGAAAAGAGTGAACTCCTTTGCAAAAGGTAGTCACTTTCCAACAGGTGACTCGTCTGTTGGTCTGCCCTGCCCTGCCCTGCCTTGATCTCCGGCTACTAGGGGACGCAGGAGCTAGAATTATGTGGTGTTTTCACTATAAACCACCCCAAATGGCCGGCCTCAGACGCCCTACTCAAAGGAGGACCTGGACCATGTAATTTAAGGTCCCCCACGTTTAGAAAGGATACAAAGAATTGTCACATTTAGATATGCATCTCATTTCTCTCTTTATCCATTGATTTATTTCCAGGAGGAGCTGTGTGAAAATATCTCGGCAGTGCTAGACCTATTTCCTCCGGAACACTTGAAGTCAGCTCTACTGATGTACAAAGCAGGGCTCCGAGTGCTAGCCACTGAGTGGTACGGAGTTGACCAGCACAGGATGGATAAGTTTCTTATGGTATGTATGAGAAAAGTATAATTAAATTGTTGTAATAATAGTTATTTACACTTTTGTGTGCCTAACTTTCATTTTAAAATGTTTATATACTATTCTTCAACCCTTACTTGTCTACATTTTCCATAGACAATTTAACTTTGTCAGGTTATATTTTATATTTTTATTATTATTAATAATAGCACCTTTATACATCACACACACGGCAGTTTGGTCCCAAACTAGGCAGAACTTGTGCTATGGTAACTAACCTGCTGATAAACATAATACATACATATTATAGATAAATTACACCCAGAAACAGAACAAATGATCTTGCTCATCACAGTATTTGTCCTGGGTGGGAATCGAACTCACACCTCTAGCTTATCAGTCAGGGTCGCAAAGCACTAGACTCACTGGCCGTATTGTAATATTAATTTGATAATTAGTAACATTATTAGGTTTTTTCTCTTGTAAGATTACGAATTATGAAAATAAATAAATATACAAAACTTCTTTTATTGAGTAGGAGCCCCATGCTTTGGCTGCATATGGGCCGGAGTGATACCACGGTAAAGCCATCCCTCCCCCTATCCTCTTCTCAATCAAGGAAAAGGACACTTAGAAGGCATCTTCAGACTTGTGACTCCAGAGTTAGGTGTACACGGACTGCGGTAGTCACTTAACATTAAGAAACCCGTCTGCTCTTTTTTCCCTTTTAAACTTTTAAAGTTGAGAAGTTTCTGAGTACTGCTTAGAGCCTCAATTCTGCTATTTTAGTATTGTATCAATAGTCTGTCGATGGAATGTCGTCGGAATAGTTTTGCACTTTTCCTATTCTATTAACTATGTGAGACCAATGGCCGATGACTTGTCACTGATAGAAATGTCGTCGATGTCTTTGTAACAGTTTGGTAAACCGTACATTTTAAATTTGTATACAAATGATATATTTAATTTTGCAGGTATGGCAATGTTGTTGATATCACCATTGATGACCTATATTACTATATCGGCAGTCTATTGACACTGTGAATTTATGTTAGTAGAATACCGATATTTTGACCGATGTCAATGGTATCTCAATGGAATTACAGTGTCTTGGTGTTAACATAAAAAACAGAATTGAGGCCCAGTACGGTATTCAGTAACAGTAATGGTTAATGATATTGAAACCTTTAAATTCCCTTGTCAGCTGGTTCGTCGTTACCTCCGCGCGAGTCTGCGGTGCCTGCTGCGCTCCAACTGGAGTATCGCCAGTTGTAAGCTGTACGCCAACATGATCTCCGGCAGTGATGGTGAGTGGATTTAACTGGCGTTGTATTTCAGGAGACCTAGTTTTTGAAGTGAAAACTTCTTTACTTTACTTAAAACAAAAGAATGTTTTTATGATATGGGAAAAAACTATTGAACTCGCGACACTGTTGACGTTACCGTTACCGACACCTCTGTATATAAGTATCTACATGTATTGGCCCCGTTTACACGAGAGTTGAGTTTAGATTGAAAGATTTTGATTATTTGTAATCGATCGATTAGATTTGTAATATAATTATATATAATATAAACATATATTGTGTATATACGTACAACATAGATATATATTCATGGCGGAACTTTTCGAATCGAAAAAAAAAACAATCTTTTTTCCTGTTATACCCAAAAATTTACAAATTTTCAAGTTTTCTCTTTTGTTGGCACTCCCGGAGTGCTTTTTTTCGGGGGAAAGACATGTTGCATCACAAATGGGTCGGCTCAGTGAGTGACCCCACGGCCTCAGAAAAATCAACTGAAGCCTAAACACCCCCTCCGGCTGATTCTCGGGGAGGGGGCTTAAAGGGCTTACACACTTGTGACTCTTGAGTGGCAGGTGTTCACGGTCCGAGGTCACTTACCATCCGATGAGCCGTATGCTAAAAGAAACTAGTGTAAGATTTTTTTCTGGATAATATAAGCTTTGTATTTCTCTGGGGCAGGTATTTTCGCTCTAAAGACGCCGCGATACGCTCGCAACGCCACCTCAATGTTGTTACACATTATGGATTGTTATCTGGAAGAAATTGCCAAGGTACGTATTTGTCTTGGGTTCATTTCTATTCAGTGGAGTTTGTTTTGTGCATGATAGTTTTTGATCAGTCTGGGTGTCGAAGCTTTACCAGTTTTACTTGGTACCTTAAATATTTATTGAAAAAGAGTTAATATTGTTATAAAGAATGGATATATATACCAATTTTATTTTAAAAAATAAGTTATAAAATAACATTGGATTACATTTACTAATAGATTTGAAATGTACTGTTTGAACACGAAAGTTTTTGTTGAAAAATAAATGAGTCTCTTTCAGACGAATCTTCATCCCTTATTTCACCAGTTTCAAATTTGTAACCGCGTGACACAAGAGGAAAAATTATGGAAAAAAACGGTTCAGCACTTTAGGAGTGATTACTTAACAGACAGATAGTTCTAATATTAGTATAAATGTGTCTTTTAATCAACTGAAAATTACGATAACCGCTTTGCTCGAACACAATTTTAGAGTATAGTTCAGTTGTTAATAAGCGACGGGATTGTCAGGTATCGTCGGGCTCTATCCCGGGCGCGTCCCTGGCGGAGCTGTTGCGGCCGCTGTGCGCGTACATGTGCGCGGGTGTGGGGGGTGGGGGGGGCGCGGTGTGCTGCGGCGCGCGGCGCGTGCTGACGGCGCTGCTGCGCCAGAGCCCCGCGGGGCTGCGCTACCAGGAGGCCACCAGCGCCTGGCAGAAGGTACGACACACACACACACACACTTGTCACATAGGAACGGAAAAACCTTTTTAAAGCGATTTTATGTATTAATTTTATTAATCAGTATTCGGAACTGTACATAGTTCAGTTACCGCTATGCTTAAAGGGACTTACGATGTTAAAATGATAAAGTGCCCGTTTTAATCTTAATTGATTTTTAAATTGCGTTCAACACAATAACCCACGACATTCTTATATCTATCCTCACTCATTATAAAGTCTCACGCGAATCACTGGAATACTTTAAATCTTATATTCGTAAACTTCAAAAATCAGTGTCCTTTAATTAATCATCGTCAAGTTTACGTGATCTCGACAGTGGTGTTCCACAAGGTACCATTCTGTCTCCTTATTACCTACCTACCCTACCCTTATATGCCATAGACGACTCCTACGTTTAAACCTGGTACCTAGTGTTCTCGGGTGTCGCCACCCCTGTTCATACCATGGGTGTCGTAAGAATTGACTAAGGGAGCAAACTAAGCAGGACAACAGCACTGCAAAGAGAAGGAAAACTTGACACAAACCCTATACCGACCCGTCTGGCCACCGGTGTATTTTAAGAAGAGGCTTATGTCCAGCAATGGACTACTTATAGATGATTTTATATCCACGTAAACAGACCTTTTAATATTTTATGTTGAACATTTGTAGATGGGGTGCCCCGAGGGAGGGCCAGAAGCTTTAGAGCTGGTGTCAGAAGATGAGGACGAGGAAACCGAGGATCAGAACGGTGACATCACTGATGATGATGACAGGTGAAGATTATTATTGCTTTTTTTTTATGATAAAAACTAAGTCATGTGCTTCGGAAATCTTAAACAAAGGTGTCTCCGGAGCCTTCCCTATTTCCGGTGCAGTTTGGCACACCTTGTGGGTTTATTTGTTTCTATTCCCATACACCACCCCATCGAGAAACCTAGATGATTGATGTATAGGAGACTCCTTCACGTACAAAGAAAAGTAATGGCTCCTGGTTTATTGGGTGGGGTTCAAACCCGTAACATCTGGATCGAAAGTCCAAGGCCTTAGCTACTACACTGCCATTTCTATACTACCAGGCAGTTACATTACCATCTATGTTCGTGTAGTGACGGATTAAGAATACGGAATGTCACTACCCCAATTCATACCCGCGGGTGTCGTAAGAGCCGAGTAAGGGAGCAAAACAACGCAGGACATCAGCACTGCAAAAAGAAGGAAAACTTGACACAAACCCTATACCAACCCGTCTGGCCAGCGTGGTGTAGTAGGCCAAAACCTCCTTTCTAAGGAGAGGCCTATGTCAAGCAGTGGACTATTAAAGGCTGTTGATAATGATGATGTGATATTACCATCTAATAATGTAAACTGAAAATAATGAAATATGTATATATTTCAGTTCGCAGAAGCCGTTGGACCCTCGCGCGGGTCGAGTGGACGTAGAGCTGCCCCTCCTGCCCGTGCCGGCCAGCTTGCTCGCCGACATGCTCCGCGAAATGCTCTCCAAGGCCAACAGCAAAGCTCACAAGAGAGTCAGGATATGCTTAGAAAGGTAATACTTTATTAGTTTAATACGTTTTTCACGACTCCAAGGGTGACCACGCACTCTTTGAGCTGCAGGTGTCCATGGGCGGCGGTAGTTGCTTACCATACCATAAAGAAAAACGTTTCATAGCTTCAAACTGGTCGCAGATGAGTCATAAATTAAAAAGTATGGAGAGTAATTTAATTGGTTATTTTACCACTGGCTCAAGTGTTATGGGTTCGATACCCACGTTAGATAATTAGTTTTTACAAACAAACGAATTCCAACCTAATATTTTAAACCCTAAGGCTCTAGTTATTATCCAAGGTTGTTTAAAATTATACGTTTTTAGGTTCGAGAAACTAGCACGTGACGAGTATCCCTTAACCATCAAAACCCACGTCGAACAAGAGAGCCCCACGCCTGCAGTGAAGCCCAAACAAGTTGCCCACTCGCTACACGTGCTGGAGAAGAAACTTGTCACAGCATCAGATGAGCTCGCCTTAAGAGGTAACACTATTTATGTGCAAACATTTGCGAAAGAATATAATCGACTGTTTGGTTTTAATGTGATTAAAATAATAAAGAGACAGTTTTGATGTATCTGTTGGTCTAGTGGTTAGTGACCCTGACTGCTAAGCCGGAGGTCGTGGGTTCGATTCCCACCCAGGACAAATATTTATGTGATGAGCACGATCATTTGTTCTGTGTCTGGGTGTAATTTATCTATAATATGTATCATCATCTGCCTACCCTTTTCCCAATTTTATTTGGGGTCGGCGCAGTATGTATGATTTTTCCATTCTACTCTGTCATGCGTCATCTCACTGTTTACTCCCTTCCTAGCCATATCCTCCCTCACGCAGTCCATCCACCTTTTCTTCGGTCTGCCTCTTCTCTTGTACCCTTCAACTCCCATACCTAAAACTTTCTTTGCCACATTTTCTATAATATGTATGTATTTAAAAATATATGTGTTTATAAGCAATGTGGTTACCATAGTACAAGCTCTGCCTAGTTTGGGATCAGACGGCCGTGTGTGAGATGTGTGAAGTAATTATTAGTTAAATATACACTAATAAACGCAGGAAAAACTGCTAAAACAGTAATAACGCTAAAACTCTAAATTAAAGTACGTATGCAATGCGTTATAGAGATATTCTAGTTCTGAAATACGACGAGTAACGAATCAAAGAATATGTATCTTAGACATATAGTCTCGGGTATAATCACGAACCCCGGCCTGAACAATACGTTGACTCAGCAAGTCTTGTGTTTGCAGGTCTAAGCCGCAAGCATAGAAAACGTCTGCTTGCCAAGAGTCGTTCAGGTTTGAGCATCGTAGAGGATGTGGAAGCTGTTCGACAGAAGATCACCAACGCTACGGTGAGTTGGCAAGTTTTAACATGTTCACTTTGGGGGCCATCTATAAACTAAGAATTTGATGGTTTTCTGACCCCTCAACCTAGTCCTTCTTACAGCTGTTCACATTTTTGAGACTCCCTAATGTGACGTCACATATTTTGCAATTTTACTTCTAGAAATTATTAACTGCTGTTTAAGCGAAAATGGACAAAGTTTACAGTTCATCATAATCAACAGTCTTTAATAGTCCACTGCTGGACATAAGCTTCTCCTTAGAAAGTTATCAGTTGATAAATTAGTGAAATTATTGTTTTGAAATATGACGTCAACTTAAGGCCCCTCCCATACCTTGTAACACAATATTACACTTCGACGACCCCCTCTCGACCCAGATATGGATGGTGTCTTTACACTAAAAATTATAGTTACAGTCAATTTTTATAAGGCGGCCCTGTTGGTCTAGTGGTTAATGGCCCTGATTGCTAAGCCGGAGGTCATGGGTTCGATTCCCACCCAGGATAAATGTGCGATGAGCATGGTCATTTGTTCTTTGGCTGGATGTAATTTATCTAAAGTATGTATGTATTTAAAAATATATAAGTATGTTTATCAGCAGTCTGGTTACCATAGTACAGGCTCTGCCTAGTTTGGAATCAGACGGCCGTGTGTGAGATATATTTTTATTATGATATTATTTTTCTTGTCAGAACGGCGCTTGGCAAGTTGAAACAACGGAGCCAGAACAGAAGAAAAGTAAAAAGGACACATCTAACAAAGAAAATAAGAAACGCAAAAACGATTTCAAAGTAGAGGTAGCACAGAAGAGACAGAAAATTGAGAGCAGTGAACATGTTCGTCCCAAAATAGCCACAAGTCATAATAACAAGATAAAAGATAAAACAGAAATAAGTATTAAAAGTAAAAAGAGTAAATTAGACCAAAAAAGTAAAAAACAAAGTAATGTAAGTAATAAAGTGGCAAAAACTAATGAAAATATTACTGTTACTGATAAATTTAATAAGAAAAATGTGGTAAATAAATCAAGCAAAGAGAAGAAAGAACATAAAACTTCAGATAAGACCATACCAAACGGCAACACCAAACCGGAAACTCCTAGATTGCAAAACAAAAAAGAGACACAAGAAAAAAATGTTAAAACACCAACAGTTTTAGTCAATAAAGTGAAGAATTTTCAGAAACAGATGGTCAAAACGGATGCTTCGATGGACAAGTCCTTTGATTCACCGAAGAAGGTGAAATTTGTTCTAAAAAATAATTCAATGCAAGCCCCCGTTGATTACTACAAGAGCATTCGACAAAGCCCCAATATACCGTTCGATGGCACAAAGAAACCTTCCAAAACTAACCTAAAGCCCTCAACACCTTCACCGATAAACCCATTCTTCAAAAAGAAATTGAAACTCAAACGTTCATAAACAATCAACCAAACTTTTTATAAATATATACAATTTTCACAGGTTTAGCTGTTATCTGAACGTATACCCAGTCGCAGACTCAATCAGCTTAAAATGTCCAAAAAAAAGGATCACAAAATGTTCTTTTAGTTCTGTTACCTGTTTACTAGATGGCGCTGTTGTGTATGCTAATATTGTTGCCGTTACGATTATTTTTGTCGTCGTTTCAACTAATACAATAATAATTACATGTTATGTTGTATGTTGATGTAATGTTTTAACAATATGTTATATATAACTTGACTGTAGATGCTTAATCATAGTTTATGAATCTTATAGAATAGTGATCAAAATGATCGACGCTTTTACACGGTATAGGAAAATAAGTCCTTTATATCATTTTTAGTAAAAATTTGTACGTTTTTGAAGATACAACTTTAAATTAGTTATTTGCGGTCGTCGCAAAGGGTTTTTGACTGTCTGGCGCCAACCCGTCTTGGATATATAATCGTATACAGACGGGACTAACATAAAAAGTAAATTTCAATTTAAAAGACAGAGTAAAGAATACCTGAGAACTCAGATGAGAAAACAGGTCTTAGTTAGGGTAACCATGGCGTACCGGTATTGTCTTGGGGTCAGATAGGGTCAAATAAATAAAAATTATGTTTATTAGATCCACATTAACACTAGTTGTAATAAATTCTAATGTTTGTAAACGCCGTAAAGGTACATACCATCTAGATATTTTAGTTTTAATAAAAAAAGTTTACACAGGTTTTGCATCTAGGGTTAAAGTTACATGTATTGTACAACTTTTTAAAATAAATAATTAAGTTTGAATATTTCTTTATTGTTTCTTTTGTGTATATCTTCCAGACATCACCGTGTGCGTTACCCCAGCAAAATAATGTCGAAAATGGTCATTTAAACGTTATAGATAATTAGTTGCTCCCCTTCTGTAATTGTTAAGCACATTTTTAAATTTGTTTCTCTTAAACTTTTTTAGTTATTTCAAAAAAACATTTCCTGCTGGGGTAACGTTTGAAACGTTACCGCAGCCAGACATTTTCTTTTTTAATTGTAATATTGAAATAAATTTTAGCTAAATAATTAGTTATCTGGACTAGGTAAATGTTACAATTTATTTGGTATTTGTATTTTCTTCGGCTGCGAAGTTATTCGAGATCCTGCTGGAGTAACGTTTGTGGGTTTGCTGGATCTCTGAAACGGGTAAGCGGATTGTAACCATCTTTTGTACATAACTTCTTAAGGATTAGTTTTAATTTGTTCGACAGTAAAATAACAAAAATAATGGACCGTTTAAAAATTATTTAGGTAAGTATGAAAACACTTCAATACGTCCTAACACTTTGAATAAGACCTCTAAAGACTTACTTCAAACGTTATTCTATTGCTTGTAACTACCTTCAAATGTATACGAATTTTCGTAAGAATACTGTAAGTGACTAAAAATTTATGATGAAATGTAGCTCTCCACGATCACGATCACAATGTGTGCGGCCTTTTTTGGCCACCGATAAACCTGTGTGTGGATATATAAACTGAATGTTATGCCAACAATTAGTTGTTTAGTTCAGTTGTCTACCTGTAAAATTTCAGCGTCGTACATATAATAATTTACGAGATAATTGAATAAAAGTCATTAGAAGGTGCAAGACCGTGGTAACCCGACCATGTTTAGGTGGTTACATAAAAGCGATCACCCAGTACATTGTGCTGGCTTTTAAAATATGTAGGATATTATTTGCAAGTTTACTACGGATATGTACATAAGTGTTACAAAAAACTACATGTTTTTAAATAATTTTTATTTAGGATTGTTTATTGCATAATTAGTAATCAGCCGGGAGATTAGGTATTGTTTTGAATGCTTTTGTTTTCTCGTAATGTTTAGGTGAATTGTTTATAGTTGTTCATAGAATTGGTACCTGTGTAGTATTTGTTAATTGAAGTTTAATTTTAGGGTAGGTATAGGTAATTTAAGTTTTGAAGAGTGTAACGTATGCGTTGTAAATAGGTATTTTGTAAATAGATTGGGATTTTTTCAAAGTGATAAATCGACTTAGGCTGGCATATCGCGAACAAACTCTGCAGTGCATTATTTCTGTAATAATGTTGGAGAAAATAAAATATTTGATCACAAAATCGCGGTGAGTTAAATTATAATAAAATAAATTATTTATGTAAAATTAGTAATAGTGATATACCTACAAGTTATGATCGTTTTTAATTTGTTCACCCCGAAGGAAATTTCAATATTAGCATTAGTAATTAACATCCTAAGACAAGAATTCGCAATTACTTAAATTGAATCTAATTAGCATTAATTCCCATTACTAGTAATTAGGTACACACATATTGAAGAACTCCCAAGAATACGATAAATATTTGCAAAAATAGAAAGCGGAAGCGCGCACGCACTTTACAAGACGTATATTATCTGCCTAAGGGTCAAGTTTAGTGCACTAGATGCAAATTGCAAACAATGAAATATCCCTTCGCCCGTCCCCTCCCGCGTTCTAGCTAAGGATGTATTATCGGTAGACTTGCAACGAATATTCGGTTACTATTCGGTATTCGGCCTATTCGGCTGCTTTTATTATATTCGGCCGAATACCGAATATCTACATATTATTCGGCCGAATACCGAATACTTAAATAATATTTTTTGTCATTGAGAAATAATTGGTAAAATGAAAAATTAAAATCGATCGATTACGTATATATTCATATTTTCATTTCTGTTATAATCATTTAAGTAGTCATTGGTGCATAACACAGGTACATAATCATCTTCTGAATTGGAAAAATGGAGGATTCTATGTATTTGAATTGTTGTGGTAATCAAAATTTAGAAGGGTAAGGTTCTCATTTCTTTTATAATCATTTATTAAGTAGTCATTGGTACATAAAACAAGTACATAATTTAATTCACGTCTGTACAAGTTTTTGGCGCTAAAATCCAGCCGAATACTTTTGCCTAATATTCGGCTATTCGGTCAGGGGCCTCGCCGAATATTCGGTATTCGGTATACTGCCGAATATACTATTCGTTGCAAGTCTAATTATCGGCGATTCTTGATTGACAAATATTATCTGACCAATAATTTTATCTATAAAAATGTATCACTTTCACTCGATAAATTAAATTACCGTTATTATATCAAAATATCATTCAACAACTGTTCGTTTTTAACAGAAATCAACAGTCACAGGTAGGTACATAGGTATAGATAATTCTCGGTTCTCGGTATAGACCACAGAACAATATTACCTACTCTTACGAGGTATACGACTGTTGGGCGATGCAATGTTGATGCATTCTAATTTACAACTGTATTCTTCTACTATTATGGTCTATTTTAACTAATTGTAGATGACTTGTTTCTTTAAAAATTTTGATGCATTCAAGTCTAAGCTATATATACCTCAAAATAAAATACAATTACTTCAGTGTTATTTCTAAATGAAACGATTTCTTAATGGTTTAAATTTTCGATTTATTGCAGTCAGGTGAATCATTCATACATGTATCTACATATTTATAATTTTAGCGGGCCAGTGCAGATTTTCTGTTGATTGTATCTCCGGTAGTTAAACAGACTAAAGAAATTTTAACTAAAGAAACTAGTGCTTAAGATCAATTAGGAAAAAAGAACAAAATAAATAATAGGTAATAATAATGAATAAATATTGAATGTATTTAACACTGTACGCAACTGTACCGAAATCGTAAGGTGTATTACACTAAACATTTTAAAAGACAGCGCAATGTACTAGGTGATCGCTTTTTTGTAACCACCTAAACATGGTCGGGTTACCACGGACTTGCACCTTCTAATGACTTTTATTTAACTATCTCGTAAATTATTATATGTACGATGCCGAAATTTTACAGGTAGACAACTGAACTAAACAACTAATTGTTGGCATAACATTCAGTTTATATATCCACACACAGGTTTATCGGTGGCCAAAAAAGGCCGCACACATTGTGATCGTGAACGTGGAGAGCTACATTTCATCATAACTTTTTAGTCACTTACAGTATTCTTACGAAAATTCGTATACATTTGAAGGTAGTTACAAGCAATAGAATAACGTTTGAAGTAAGTCTTTAGAGGTCTTATTCAAAGCGTTAGGACGTATTGAAGTGTTTTCATACTTACCTAAATAATTTTTAAACGGTCCATTATTTTTGTTATTTTACTGTCGAACAAATTAAAACTAATCCTTAAGAAGTTATGTACAAAAGATGGTTACAATCCGCTTACCCGTTTCAGAGATCCAGCAAACCCACAAACGTTACTCCAGCAGGATCTCGAATAACTTCGCAGCCGAAGAAAATACAAATACCAAATAAATTGTAACATTTACCTAGTCCAGATAACTAATTATTTAGCTAAAATTTATTTCAATATTACAATTAAAAAAGAAAATGTCTGGCTGCGGTAACGTTTCAAACGTTACCCCAGCAGGAAATGTTTTTTTGAAATAACTAAAAAAGTTTAAGAGAAACAAATTTAAAAATGTGCTTAACAATTACAGAAGGGGAGCAACTAATTATCTATAACGTTTAAATGACCATTTTCGACATTATTTTGCTGGGGTAACGCACACGACATCACCCTTTTAGGGTTCATCATCACAACTTATAATAGTCCACTGCTGGACACAGGTCTCTCCTTAGAAAGGAGGTTTTGGCCTACTACGAGTATACTGGCCAGACGGTGTGGTATAGAGTTTGTGGCAAGCTCTCCTTATCTTTGCAGTGCTGTTGTCCTGCGTGGTTTGCTCCTTTAGTCGGCTCTTACAACGCCCACGTAAAGAATTCTATTCTATTCTATACTTTTGTATTATTTTTTGTTTCGTACCTTAGAACTCTCGTCATTCATGTTGTTTTGGAAATTCTTAATTTTCTTTTTATGGTATAAGGAGCCAAACGAGCAGATGGGTCACCTGATGGTAAGCAACTACCGCCGCCCATGGCCATCTGT